ACACACACACACACACACACACACACACACACACACACACACACACACACACACACACACACAGCTGTCAAACAGATGTGAAACACAAAGAACCCACCACAGGCTCAAATCAGTTTACAGCCAGACAATAAATGTCTGAATGGAAGAAAATGTTACAGAAAACTCAAGTTATTGAGTACAATCCAAAGTTTAACATAATTAACACTAATCAACCAATCACTGATTTATAACACATTTGGAAAATTAGTAAGCCGAAGTAAGGTTGAATATTTTAATGGAGTTTTAAAAACAAACCAGTCAGTTAAATCAGAAAAAGCTCTCACTAACACTAAAAATAAACCTGAAACTGGAGAAAATGCTAAACAGACAAACTATGGTTGAGAGAGGAGGGGGTTACATTTTCTTTATTTATCTGTTACCCCAATAAGATGTTAATGTGTCAGGGTGTATGCAATTTATAAAAAAAATATTCATCAAAACATTTCAGCTCAGCTCCATCTTTAATACAACAGTATTAAATGTTTTTCCTGACATCAAACTAACTCTGACTAATCCAAGGAGTTGACCGTATCTAATGCATCTGAACAAAAATAACCATCTTTAAAAGCCCCACTTTAGTTTATAAACTAACTCGGTCCAATAGTAATCGGTTCAATGATTGTAGTCACTTCAACACAAGAAGAAAACACGTTTTTCACTCTGTAAACACACCACAATATAACGATCACAACAGGGGAAAGCTGTAGCAAATAAGGAAGCATGTTTCAAATCATTTCTCCTGTTAAATGCATGCTATCAGAAAAAACAAGGGAGAGGAAAGAACAATCACTTATGACGCACTCATTCCGTATTATTATGGAAAATATTTGCCTGTATCATGCAAATTGAATTATTCATTGAGATTTCAGTGAATCAGTTGTTTGGAAGCTTAATATAAGAAGCACATCTTTCCACAACTGATGAGTGCGAGCATAAAAGGACGTGACACGCAACAGCAAACTGAATGATCTCAACAGAATTAGTGCAGTTTTATGCAAATATGTGCAAGTAGGAAAGTTTTGCAAGACAAATAGGGAGGATCATTTGTTTTTATTGATTAATCAATATTTGGTATGCACTGGAGTAATTCCAATTGACAGAAAAAAAACAGATCGTTGATGACTGCTCTCCAATCAGCTGAACACACTCTCTGCCCCTGACCTTTTGGTGCATCTCTTGGCTGAGTGTGATTGCATAGCGAAGCTCTGCATCCTCCAGAGGGTCCGTGCTATTCTGGGGGAGGTCAGTGGTTAAATGGTGAGAGCAGAGCTAGGTGCACTGCAGCAGCAAAGAATAATGTCTGTGTGTATACTGTTGCTGCATTTAAACTACAAATGGAGCTCAACCCTCCTGCTGCCCTTGGGTCAAAGTCAATCCTAAAACAGCCTCAAGGGTCCGTTTGGCCCAAAGTCAGCAGCAGGGTTAAATAAAGCAGGATGTAAACTAGCTCTGCAGGCTTAGATATGAGACTCTGCAATACCTGCTCTGCCTCTTCTTTACTCATGGCCAAAGCCAGCTGAAGCTGCAGGTCTTCCTCTCCGGAGCTCTGTGGCCACGCCTGATCAGGATCTGGCCCTAAAGAATGCGAGCCCACTGATAGGCTGCCCCCCAGGCTGGGCGCTGAGGGGGCCGAGGAGGCTGGCGGGGAAACAAAACGTGCACAGATGAGACAAATGCACCATTTTTTTACTTCCAGCTAACCGTTTATTGGTGCTTGCTAAAATAAAACATCTCACCACTGGTGGTCTGTGCCATTTTCTCTTTGGTTTTTAGAGCGTGGATCCTCTCCTCTCTTAGTTTTTCCTCATCTTTCAACAACGTCACAAGCTGTTTGGCTTTCTCTCGAACATTCAAACCCTAAAAATAAAATAAAATAGAAATCTAATAAATATATCAGTAAAATAACTCGAACACTTTAGGGTAGTATTTTTTCCTAAACAAAGATAAGATTGACTGCATTCTTATTTGTGCAAATACATTAATGTGCAAAAGTCTTCATTGATGCCTCACATCTTTATTTTGCCAGTTTATTTTATTGTGTCAATTTGTTGTCAAATAAAAATGTTAAATTATAATAAGAACAAGGAAACACAAGAAATCATGTGTCATTATAGGGCAAACACAAGTAAAGTTCAAACAAAATATGGAAACACAACAGAAATACCCATCTAAATACAAGCTGCTGCATTCTGGAAGGTTCCTTAATCGATAAGAGCTGATTTATCCAAACCAACATTTAAAGCGCTACAATAGTCCAACTCAGAAGTAATAAAAGCCTGAATCGCTTTTCAGGGTATTTGATAGGGAGATATTGCATCTAAGGAGCCAGACAGATGTAATATTTAAAAGCAGTCTTGGACAAAAGCTCTACAACAGGGCTAGGTAATATTTTATTACAGAGGCCATTTTGACTGTTTAAATAAAGGTCAATGTATCAAAGTGTTCCATGGGAACAGTTATCTGCACCTGTATATTTAAAGATGAAGAAGGTCCAAAGGTCAAGATTAGTCCATGTGTACTTTACTGCTTCTGAAAGTTTTTACAAGTTTGTTTGTTTTAATCAAGTACTTTGTACTCAAATATTTTTAGAGGAATGAGTTTTCTTCATTGTTTTTTTTTGAGCCACTCGAGATAGTCCAATTTCAATAGTAATGAAATTAACCAGCACTGAACCATTTATCCAGTTTTCTATTTATACACAGCATATAGCACTTCTTTTTAGCCAATTCTGTTACCTTTTTCTTGAAATTAACTATTTTATATAGCAATCGCTTGCTCAAGATCCATTAAAAAAACTTTTCAAAAGGCAAATTCAAAGGAATGATAAAAGGCTCAAAATGTTTGTACAGCACTGCAGTTACATAATAATGTTAGCTTCACAACTTATTAACTTTGCACACTTTATCACCTTTGTGACAATGTGCAAAGGTCAGGCCTTTGTCAGCTTCAAGTTCATTCAAAGAGATTTTACACAGCGTTCCTGCAGAACTCAAATAGAAATCAAACTAATTTAACACTTCTGATTTCTACTCAGCCATGTTAGCGTGGGTTTGTGTGTGTACCTGGTCTTTGCCGTCTCTGTCTATGTACTGGAAATCCTTGAGAGTTTGGACTGCGTAGATGTTTTCTCGACACTGTTGGGCAACGCGTTCTGAACCCGTCTTAATCAGGTATTCCATAAGAGTCATTGCCTGATGGAGAAAGAAAAAAAAATTAATTACAGTTGGAATATTCTGGATAATGAGAAAACAAAAGATTAAAAGAAAAAAAGAAAAAAAATCACACATTTTACTATAACTTCCAAATAAATTAATACCAGGAGTTAGTTATATGTGTGGGGCCAAAACCAACTAATTATGATTTTATCTCTGGAAAATAAACATCTCTCTAAAGTTTGCAGTAAATTCAAATTTTATAGGATGTATGTAATCACACATTCATATGCTCTCTGAATGAGTCACTGCTGCTGCAACAGTGTAGGCTTTGTGGTATGACTGTGGTACACTTTGGTAATAAACATGGTTATGGTATTATTATCACAATCAAATTTCCACAAGGCTGCTATGAAAACTGGGACATCAGTATTCTAGGCTCTTTCATTAGACGCCTCATAATATTACCAACGCGTTCTGACCACCTCAGACATAGTAAATCTGAACTGACAAAACTGCCTCTCATTGTCACAGCTGCATGATGAGTCTTTGACCTCTTATTGTCACAACGCACCAGGAGAACGTTTTACTCTCCTCCACATAAGAACTTACAGTGTGATTGGTCTTTGTTTATGCTGAAAGTGTTCGGACACAGCATCGGGGACCGTGGGTTTCTTAAGTCAAACCACCAAAACTCCATTTTGATTTAAACTTTGTTGTTGTTTTTTTCAAGCCCCACAAGCTCTTTGCTGCAGAGGAGGAACTAAATGCAAACTTTATCATAACAAAGAACAAAAAAGCTAAATGTGTGCAGCAGCATGGTTGCATGGATACAACCGTGGTAAGAGTGAGTTTATTTTGAAACTTAAAACCCTAACAAGACGTACTTGGATTTGGCAACTACTGCTGTTCTCAGCAGATTGAGTGACAGCAACACCTCAGAGCAGAGGAGTTTTTATCCTACGTCTCAATCTGGCTCGACAATGTGAAGCTATATGCATGTAAAAGCTCACAAGCAGCCGTTTCTCTGTTAATTATTCACTATGTAACTTATCTAAAGATAACTACCACCATATTTATTCATGTGTAATACAATCTCAAGTATAATACGATCATCATTTTTGAGCTTAAAAAGCATAAAAAATCTAATCTCCAATAATCTGCGTATAATACTACCCCCCCACCTAATTTATGGATGATTTTTAGGGTTAAATTTCTAGTATTATACATGAATAAATACAGTAGTTATGAAAAAGATCAATACCGTCCAACCCTACAAGGGTTTTTTTTAATAAAAAATAAAAATACAAATTTAAGGGTTTTAAGCAGAAGGTACAGAAAGCAGACAATACACTTCTGTTTCATTTTGTAAAAGCTCTGTCACACGATAACGTTTTAGACAACTTATAAAAGTGTTTTTGTTAGATCAAATATAAAACCTATATGTTATTTAGTCATAAAAATATATTCATAAGCTGGTATAAGTTGTCTAAAGCATCATAATGTGACAGGGCCTTAGCATGCAATGATATATTTTATTGTCTTGTACACGGTGTATATGTACACACAAAACTCCACACCTTGTACACGTGTCTCCAGTTCTTTCCGTGGTCATTGAGTCGTTTCCACACCATGCTCATAATTTCTGAGAAGGCCACAACGTTGTAGGTCAGATCTGCGATCTCTGACATGAGAGAGCTGCTGGGACCCCATGGGTCATTGGACGTTGCCTCTCTAACCTGAGCAGCACAGTAAGGGGAAAAAAACTTTCATTAACTTTCAGTCAAGGCCTTTGTGATAAGAAACACCTTTCTGAGTGAAAATGTAAACTCGTGGCTCAGGATAGACAGAAACAAAAGATGTTTAAAAAAATGTAACAGAAATGATACAAAAGCATCAGGAAGTCCTTTGTGCTGCAGAGATACCCAACGTGTGAGAAAATACAGACAGACAAAACTAAAAGGAAGAAAACTGACAGAATGAAAAAAATAAAAACCCACACAACCTTGATTTCTGCCTCTGAATAGTTGTGGACGATGTTCTTTACTTGTCGCCGTAGCGATGAGGTCGACATGGCAACTGTCTGGCCACAGACTTCTGTTGCAATCTGAACAGATGGAGATTCAAGGCTATAACGCAGAGTTTATATTATACGTGCAATTAGACAGAACATCCTTCAAACAGGTTTTAATTATTGTGACAAAAGAAACTGAGGAACCAAAGGCTGGGAAAGCTGTGAAGCAAAAAAATATAATAAAAGAACACCTTGGAAAAATAAATACAGATGGCACACACGGTTAGAAAAGTCTGTTTCACATACATCCGTTACACAAGAAGGATTCAGAATAAGGCTCTATTCTCCCAGTGTGCTCCTTCGTCTCTTCCTCGTCCTTCACTCAGTCATGGACGCCCGTGTCTCACTTTGTCTCTTTCTTCCCGCGGCAACATTGGGTCTGAAAACCAGATGTAGGTTGATGGAAACTGTTGGAAAAGATTGACGGGGACACGGTTAAACAACAAGATCCAGGATGTTTTCACAGAACAAACAGGTCAAATCTTACGCAACAGATGATCTCAAAGTAATCATTTTAAATACAAAGAACATATTCAGTTTTTAAAAAAGCCACATGATCTGGTGCTGATCCACACATGGTTGATTTCTTACCGCTCAAAACCAGCTCACTGCGTCACGTTTTATACGACGCAGTTACAAGTCTGAGGAATCACTAATTTTGCAGCTTTATTTTGATGTAGGAAAGATACCGTTTTATAAGCAGACAAGCTGTATAAACTGACACTTTAAGCTACTTTTACAACTAAAATGTTCAAAACAGAAACAACAGTTCATTGATGAGCAACATCATAACTCCAAAACCTAATTTTTTAAAATTTAATTTAAAAATTTTTAGGCTGAAAAATAATAATAAAACCCTTTAGGGTAAAGCCTAATGTGACAGAAATTAATTAAAAAAAACTTACTGATTTATGGACAACCTACTTTTGAGTTTGTGACTATTTAGATACACAGAGTTTTACAGTAAAGTCAAATGAAAACACAAAGTGTTACAGGCCTCCAGGACATGAACTGAACTTTGAACTCTGTTGCCAAGGCCATGTTTGTGTTTATTTAACTCTGAATAATATAACGTTCTTTATCGCTGCATTTCCAACAAATTATCAGACATCCAGGAGCCCATGGAGACAGCGAGCCTTAAATTAAGTCGTGGATCGTTTATACAACAGTGGAAGTAAACACAAAAGTCAACACCCAAAAAAAAAGACCCTTTCTGGACCGGTCGTTTCTTTTACCCTAAATCAGTAACTAATCCTGTGTAATGATGGTTCAACAGCATGAAAACTTTTTTTTTGAAATAGTTTTAACAGCACACTAGTTCTGGCAGTACCTCCTGCTTACACAGCAGGCTGGACAATTGTTGCTGACCAGATGCATCCTTTCAGTGTTCAAAACTGCATTTTCACACCAAACAGATGGCACCACAAGCTAGGCAAAAAAACATAACAAGGAATAAACAATAACAAGGACTTGCTTAAAGTTCTAACTTGATTTTTTTATATATTTGAGACAACTTTAGAAAACTTTTAGGAGTGCAGTGCTTCAGTAAAGCAAAAATAATAAAATAGATGCAAATAGGGTAGTTTAGTGTATGTCATGTTTTTTTAAGGTGGATATATATATCTATCTATCTATCTATCTATCTATCTATCTGGTACAAAAAATCTGAAAACAAAAACTCAGTTATTATGTTCAGAAAAATTACAAAAAGGCATAAAAACTAAAGATCCATTCATTTTAACCACTGAATAAACACTGTTGTCCAACTGAACGTTCAGGTAACTGACTCCTTTTTCTACTGCTGCTTTCCAAGAAAACCTTTAATGTTTAATGCTTGATCAGTATCACGCAAAGCCTGCATTATGTTTTATACCTGTGGAATGTCGAGCAATCACAGTAACATGCTTTATTCACTTTTGTGCAAAATAAACAAATAATTACCTGTAATGAACTTGGAAGCTTGAATTATAAACACTACAAGTTTGAAAACCCAGTAAAAGATTTGCCTATATTATTACCACATAGTCATTTGTGTTCTAATACTTTTATATAATGCAAAATATCTAAAAATCATTAATTTTACCATAATGTGTTTTTACCATGACATGTTATACTGTATCTAAAAAGGGTGATGTTTAAAAATATTTATTTTTCTATTTTGCACAGTACAAAATAACTTCAATTAGACATTTTTTTATTTGCCAAACTGACTGACTTCTGCTTTAAAATGACGATATCACTCAAAGAGGTTAGATTTTAAAAATGAAGATCATGCAGTGAATACTTGAGTTTTTGATGTATTGTTAATATTCTGATGAGCCTGACACACTGTGTGTCATGCACATATGAACATACTGTAAATGTTTCACTACAGAAGCCACTTCAGAAACTCCTAAAGCTCTGCAACAAAGTTTAGACCGGCCACCTACTCTCTAAGAGCAGCCCCTGAGAAAACGATCAGGTTTCACTCAGACAACATTTCAACTCTGCTGCTCGCAACCACAACACACACACGTCTTCATTTCACATGTATTTATGACCCTCAGATGTCTTACATACTGCACTGCAAGCAGGAGTCACGCCATGACCTAGCTTCTTAAATAAATAGCAGAGTTTGAAGTTCACGGACGACTATCCTTACTGAAAGTAGCCCTCCTTCACCTTCCAAGTAGATAACCCGATTAGTAATCCATATTCATCAGGTTCATAAAGCACTGCTTTCATCTCATCTGTCTCCTCTGAAAAGCATTTTAAAACCTCTGCAGTCTGGTATTTCATGGCCCAATCCTGACACTTCACCTTGTGAGTCTCACTCAGCGGTGGCCATGCTTCAGCTTTCATTACCTTGGGCCAAGTCTCTGGGCAAAGTGCAAGCACACGTTGTGCTGGAGGTAGATTGCTTTTCTAAACTACACTGAGAATAGAAAAGCAGAAGCTTCCAGGTAGTTTAATTGGAAACTGTTAGTATGCAAACTGGAAAATTAATAAATACCTCATGTGAAAATGATGCAATTCTGAGGGATTCATGTTTTGGTGTGGATTTAATAAAATGCAAAATTATATTGTGGCAATATGCTAATTTCCCTAACTTTGCAAAGACAAATGACAACCCTAACCCTAAATGACAAAAGTTAGAATAAAAGCCAAACTACTTCATTCCCTCTAATGTTGAACTCACATGTGGACAGCAGCGTTAAGTGAAAGGAGGCACATCCGCCCAGATAAGGCAAACAACCGTTAATCAACACACACTTTACCATCATGTCACAACTGTCAAGTTAACAAAAGGTGAGCATTTATCCAACATATACACACCTGTACATGCACCACTGTTAAAGGAGCGTGACAGCGATGTCTACGACAAACAAGATTTAAAGAAATCCCCCAACTAACAGTAGCTGTCATTTAGCAGCTAACACACATTAGCCACATAGCAACTAACTAATCGAAACTGTTGACTAGCAGAGTTTGTCACTGCGCTCAGGGAAGTCTAAAAACTATACTCAGTAAAGAAAACGAAAAGGTATCACTTCACATTAATAAGCCAGCCACAGACCGTCAGAGCTCCCCCGTCATAGCACTGAATTAATACAGACTAGATACGAAGGTTACCCTCCAGTTTTCACTGATAAAGAAATCACTTGCTGCTAGCTAGTTAGCTTCTGATGCTAGTTCGGCACTTTACGAGAACTAGACGGCGGGGACACGTCCTGCTTCAGGGCAGCGGCGATTAGGGTCGTCCGAAATGACGAAAGGCTACTAAATATAGACAGCACAACACGATAAACAGCTGAATGAAACGAATACTGACCCTGTTGTAGCCGGAGTGTACGAGGAGATGGCCGAATTTCCGGTTCCGTTCTCGCCCACAGGAAGGACCGCACCCCCTGTCAGCAGTGTTTTCCTGCGATGGAAGCGGTACTCGTGAATTAAGTGACTTTTTCACGCCAAAATTCAAGTCCCGCAAGAGAAGCACGCACGAGCTAACGTAATGATTCTTAATTTTTATCTTTATTCAAAAACAGAAATATATTGAAGCTATGAGCTTATTAATATTTATGTTTTGTAGGTGGAAAAAACACTTCTTCTTTTGCAATTTTTTTTTATTTATTTTTGTTTGTTTTGCACCTTTGTGCTTTTTGTCTATCAGAGGATAAGTTAGGTGGTATGGAAGCCCAGTGCTGCCATTGTACAGATTAAAAAAAAGAAAGTATAAGATATCCTAAAATTCTGACATGTTGTGTATCATAATTATGAAATCTCATCATCATGCATTGGTATTTTCTAATTGTGATAGCATGTGACAGTTACTATCATCATTTTGACTTAACATCACAACATCTCATAATAATTTGAGACTACGTCTGAGATACATTCTCAAAATTATGAGACACCAAGTGACACATTGAGATAATATTACATAAATAAGAGATGCTAAGTGATAAAGATATGGTAGCTCATAAATATGACTTTTGTTAGGACTTATCAGACGCTATGTTATAACTTTAAGACTTATCTCATAATTTTAAAACACTAAGTTGTAGTTTTAATTAGATATGCCATTTTAATTTTTATAATTTTAGATAGATAGATAGATAGATAGATAGATAGATAGATAGATAGATAGATAGATAGATAGATAGATAGATAGATAGATAGATAGATAGATTATTTTAATTTTTTCACTCTACTAAAGTTATAAATCCACTACAATTGTAATAAAACGTTTTTGATTTATTTTTGCTGTAACTTCAGTTATCCACCAGGGGGAGCCATTTCCCTTCTCTCTTCAGATGAATCCAGAACAGACTTTTTGAGTTCTGTCAGATGAAACAATATTAATTCCTGCTAAAGCCCATAGATGAGAACCCAATGAACAGGTGGTATACATGTGTTACATGTTTCCCTTTTATTCTGCAAATCATCATCCTGTCTTGTGCATTATAAATATCTAAATGCTCCTCTTTGACTCATCACTCAGAGGTTCATGACATATTCTGCACACATGTGCGTCTCTGAGTCTGTGTCCATGAATGACAGTAGCTCTCTGGGGGCAAGTTGTGATCCAGTTTTGGAGCAGAGCAGCTGGTTGTCACAACAGGGGCTGCAGGACCCTGTGGTGTGAGCAGCGTGGATGTACATACTGTATGTCCGAGCTGCGAACAGAGACAGGCCGTTGTGATGGCAGCCAGTGTTTGTGTTACATAATACACAGCCGTCAAGACAGTTGCAGTCACACTGCTGCAGAATGTGCGTATGCACTAAGTGAACTCTACTGAAGTGGACAGAGAGAGGAGGGTGTTAAAACTATGGTAGCTGCAGGAGAGACCTGAGCTCCTGGTGTTAAAGAGCAACCCGAGTCCAGCATGAAGCTGGGTTTTACAGCTTCAGCTGTTAGCTGTGATGGTTTGCAGTGAAAGGTAATGAAATGTATATTAAGAGCGATTAGAGTGGAGAAGGTTAATGAGGAAAGAAAGAAAATGCATAAAAATATGATTTAATGAGGGTTTTTTTTTAGCTTTAACAAAACAAATCCCTGAATGGAGAAACTCTCAGAAAGTATTTAATGATTGTGCATCTAAAGTCTGTTAACTTTTAACTCCAGTTTCAAATGGTTGCCATCAATAAGCAAACATAGCAACCACATAAAAGACTATAACTCAACCAGTTTTACTCATATTGAGTATAAATTTGGTGTGGTAGTAGCCGAAAGTCATTCTCATCACATACTCTGAACACTAACTGATTAAAATGATTTGTTTTTACAGCTTAATCCAGTCAACTTTGTATGTTAGCAAAAAAATCTCATGAACCTCCATAAAATCCTCAGAAAACAATAACTGGATATGTATCAAGAACTCCTTCAATTTTGGAGTCAACTCGTTTAAAGATGGCCGCCACAACCAACTGACTTTAGGAAACACAAAGTAGCTTCAACTCAGCCAATTTTACAGATCCGGAGCTAAAATTTGATGTGGTAGTAACTGAAACTCATCCCTATCACATACTCCAAGTGATATGTTATGCCCAAAATCTTTGTTTTGACCATTGGCATCAACTCTGTTTATCTGTTAGTAAAATATCTCATCAGTTATTGATCAGATTTTATTGAAACTCTCAGAAATGAATCGGTGGATATACATCTACAACTCGTAAACTTTTGGAGTTACACCGATGTAAGATGGCCACTTTAGCTAATCAAAATTATGTGAAAACTCAATCATATTGAGCTAAAATTCAGTGTGGTCATAGCTTAGAGTCATTCCCAACACATACTTCAAACTTTATCTACTGTGTGAGATTAACTGTTAAAAGTCAACCCTGTCTGTTTGTTAACAAAATATCTCAGGGATAACTGGACAGATTTTAATGGAAATTTATCTGAGAAATCTCTGGATGTGCATCTAAAACTGACATTTAGACTCAACTGCCTCAGATAATTGCTTTTACCAACACAAAAATGGCCTATAACCCAATCAGTTTTAGAGGTAATGAGGTGAATTATTGTAGCTGAGAGACATTCTCACCTTATGCTCCGTCACAAGACGTGGTTGTGGCCACCATCTTGAGTCAAAACTCTGGCATGAAAATTGGTGAACGATTAGCATTCCTTCAAGTAAAGCTATGTTTTTGATTATAATCTGTTTTTCAACTCTCTTATTGTTAAAAACTTAACTTCAGTTTAAAAAAACAGTTTAATTTGGAGATAAAAAAAAACAATTACATTAGGTTTTATCTGTTTATAAGGTTTTTCCTTCATGACAGACATAGTTAAATTCTGCAACGACCAATCGTTTTTTACAATAAATTAGTTTTTCGAGGATCTTTTCTTGGTGTTTCACAGAGTGAGGTTCTGACCCCAGCTTTAGGAAGCTCTGACGTAAAGGGGAAAAAAAAAACACTATAAAGAAGAGGTTCATGTGTTGTACCCATGTAATCCCAGCAATGATTCAGGGATCATGCATACAACTTGTTGGCTTATTCCCATCGTTCCAGCATAGCTGCTGATTAAAGCAGGAATCCTGGATCTCTCAGACTCAAAGTGAGGAGGTGGTGAAGAGACGTGGACAAGAAAAGAAGAGGAGTGTGAGTGAGTGACAACAGAGATGAAGAGTTTGCATGTCCAGGCTGAAACTGTGGAATATTAACAGTGCTGTACTTTGTAAGAGGGAGGGCAGGGGGGCACACAGGGGCTTGGGGGGCTTGTGGCTTGTTCGTGCATGTTTGGAGAAGAGGAGGAGAGAGTGTGTTGGCACGGGTGGAAAGAGGGAGAGAGAGAGAGACAGAGAGGGAGAGAGAGAGAGTTGGCTGTGTGTGTCTCCTGAGGGAGACGCACACAGCCAATATCTAAGTTTCCAGTAAACATTGATGAGGGTCTTCCATAAAGCTGCTGAACATGTGACCACAGAGCAAAGACAGAGACATACTGTCCAGCCTGCAGACAAACAGCGTTTCTCCACATCTGAGCTGATCTAATGAAAAGAGGCAAGACGAACTGAACACGGATCAACGAACCGAAGCAGCAATGACAGTAAGTCTCACGTATTGTTCAGTTTTCTACAAACATAACATAAAGTCAGAACGTCAAATGAGCTGTGCAAACATTTCAAAACACCTTTATTTCTTCAAGCTTTTTGCTTCAGAGTAGCCAGAGTTTCCATTTAAAGTGTGCAGACACTCTGAGGGTCTTTTAACATTTATTTTATTTAGTTTTTATTCATTTTCAATGCAATGCTTGACTAATTTTAGTGGTGTGATTTTTTGTTTGTTTGTTTGTTTGTTGAACTCAGTCAGATGATCATCTAATATTTGACACATTTTCATCTCAACTGCTGCTAAAACACTGTTTTATAAGTCAAACTGTGTTACTTTTTGGTATTTTATTTGAATTTAATTTATTTTTTATTAATTTAATCTAAATAAAAGGCAATATATTCTGTTTTGTGGCAAGCTGCTTGTAACAAAGTGTCTAAAAATTTTGTTTCTCTTGGTTTATTGTGTTTGAGCGCCTTTTTATACCTACATGATTCACAGATCATTCACACAAACAAAAAGTCTATTAAAAACATTTGAGTTTGATGGCTTGACACATTTACAAATATTCCTCTGAAAACATTTAGGGTCTGCACTGAAAATGTGTAAAAAAGCAGCCAAAGTCCAAAGAAAAAGTAAAAGTAATCTAAAAGATGAGAGAGAAGCAACATAAAAAGAACTCATTCATTCATTTATGTGCTGACAGCTCTGCTCACTGTCACACATGTTTTTGCAGCTGTATGATAACATGCAGTCTTTGCGGGCAGTCTGATAAACTGCAGGTTCGAAGCTCGATAACAAGCTGCTGAGAGGATTTTCAGCTTTATGTGTTGATTACTTTTAACGAACATCAGACACGTTAAAGATGTTAACTCAGTTAGAGTTGGCATTGGAACCTCGCAGCACTTGCTACTTCGTGCCAAAAGCCATAAATTGAAAGAGGTTTAATTAAAAATCAGCTCAGCTTACAAGCCTAACCTTTTAGCAGATGGTTCTGCATTTTTGTTATATTAACGCCAAAAATTCTTCAACTAAACTGTGATCATAAAAACAAAACTCTGCAGAGCATCACTGAATTTATTTTTAAAGTTGAATAAAAGGCAACAAAAATTACATTAAACTGATAAAAACATTCAAGAACATTACACTAAACATTTTTCTCCATGACACCATAAAAAAAACACTCCTGTATTTATAATAAAGTAAGATTCTGATTTAACACATATCGTTATACAGGAGTCCCAGTATGATACATCATGATATATTGCAACAAGCAAGGCAATATATTGTCATTTTTTCTCCAGAACTACTCGATTTTTTTAAAAAAACTCAGTATAATGAGAACACCATACGTTGCATGTATAAAATCTTCAGTTTTTTAAATCTAATCAAGACTAGAGAGAGAACTGCATTTGTTCACATTTTGTCTTACAGCATCCATCCATTAAGTCTTAATTATAAAAGGATGCATTATCAGGAAGTGAAATATTGCTACAGTATGTTTCAGTGTACAGATATTTTCTCACCCCCTAATTAAAATGTTTATAAAAGTTTAGAACACATTTCCACTTTTACACTGTATGCCTTTTATCTCACTTTTATATTAATTTAAAATGTGGTGTGGTAGTAGCTGAGAGTTATTCTCACATCTCACAAGATTTATCAGATGATATTATGTGTATAACTTTGTCACTTCTTGTCATAGGATGATCTTAGTTTTAAACCACAGGTGCCCAGTCTGGAAACTGTGGGCCAAAATTTGCCAGCCAAGACATTTGATTTGGCCCAACAGCAGTTGTCTTGGTTCTAGGTTGTAACTTCCTATCATTCTGTGTAGAATCTGTGTATTTCATGAACTGGCCCAGTGACTGTGCACATAATGGACTGTAGAGCAGATAGTTTTTACTCATGGAGCTTCCTTTGTCTTTGAATTACACGATAAAACATGAAGCACAAGTAACTACAGGAGACATAGATTTAAGCACACATGTAGATTTTCACACTTTAAAAGACCACAAATACTCATAATTTATCAGTTTATGAAATGTCCCATGAGCCTTTGCTGCCTGAGTGAACTGGCTGCTAGCTTAATAATAAAAAATAAAAGGACTTTACTTCGAAAATATTTGTGATTCATGTGTTAAATACCGCAGCTCCCAGATAGATTTTCATTTTTGCCCTCTTGTAGAAAACGTTTGGGCAGCCCTGTTTTAAACTCTGGCTTGAAAGGTGGTGGTCGATATGCATTCTCTCAAAGGAAAGATTTGATTACTTTAAACTTCTGGTGTTCCTTAGATAATTTGCAGGTTGAACTTTGTAATGTCTACAGATCCTGTCACATTATAATGTTTTAGACAACTTGTGCCAATTAATGAAAAGCTTTTATGTCTAAACTACTAATAAATTGTATATTTAATCAGTTTGTTATCATCACAGCATGTAACACCTGAAAGAGGCTTCAAGTTGATTTTTTTAAAATTCCATCTTCAACGTAGATGTCTTTAAAATTTTCACAAGTTGACATAAGTTGTCTAAAACCTTATAATGCAAGAGGGTCTTCAGTTACACAGTTTGTGTTTGCCATAAAATACTCCAAAGATGATTAATCTAAAACAAAAAGTACTGCAGTCGTATGATGTTTAGGCGAAAACAGCATTTACAACATTTCCCGTGGCAATAACAGTAGCAATTTACATCCCATCTGTTGCTTAGTTACACAACATGTGAAAGGTCACGAGTAAAAATATGTTATCCACCTCTGATCGCTTTATCTTTTGTGTTAAGCTGCGTGTCTTTGCTGTTCGCAGTTATAGTTTACAGGGGGCGTGTGGCGGGGGATCTACTTCAAAGGAAATCATCACGACTTTCATAAAGCAGATGATGATGATGATGATGATGGAAACAGGGAGAGAATGGCAGCACCACATGTTCCGATTGTCAGGAATTAATCCAGTTTATTGTAAACATCAGAGACGATCAGCCCAGATTAGCAAAGGTGATATATTCCACTATAATCTGCCAATAGAACTGGAATAGCACAAGTTATTTCATCCCTCAAAACAAGAGAAGCAAATAAATGTTTAATATTACAGCTAATGAGATACATGAGACTTGTGTTGTGCAGCTCATGTCATGTTTGGTTACCAGAATGTGCAGCTTCAGAGGCACACTTCATTCTTTGTACATCCCTGTCATCGTGCTGCTCACTGTGGCTCCTATTTCCCTCCATACCACAGAATCAAATCCCCGGTCTTCGCTGTAATGACACAGAACCTGAACTTGTGTGTCTGTTTGCGTGTGTCTCCGCAGGCGGCGGCAGCTCAAGAACTCGACGAGCTATGTTTCCTGTCAGCTCAGGCCTTGCCCAGCCTGAAAGTATCCAAACACTTCCAGGTGCTGAAGCTCCTGGGACAGGGATCGTACGGAAAGGTCATGCTGGCCGTGCACAGGAAGAGAGGTCAGTGCAACGTCAGGGGGTTAGATTTGTTTACCCCCCACAAATGAAAACATTGGGTTTAATACAGGTCTCAATACATGGGTTACAGCCCATGTAGTGCGCATTTTTCAGCTGCTTATGTCACTGCGCCGTGCCGTAGGCTGTCCCAATTTGTACTCATCTGGCCATCAAACGAGACAGAAAAAACCCAAAAAACAGGCTGCATCTGAGTATGGCCAGGTCCCAAAGCTCGAACTTTTTCACCCTTGTGTACTTCAAATGCATCTTCTCGCTGAAGGGTTTGAGTGTGTCCCAATTCTCGGTCTTTCAGCTCGTCCCCTTTGTGCCCTTGATCCACTCTTGGATTGCAACCCCTAAATGGCAATACATCCTATGTAACTAATACAAAGAAAAGGCCATCCTCTTTTAATAGGGTTTTGGCTAATTAGACATTATAAAATTGATTCAGTTTTATTAAGTCTTAACAGCTATGATGGAGCAGAAAAACATAAAACATGCAGGATAGCAGTCCTCAAGGACAAACAAGAAGAAAAGTTATTTACAAGTGAGAAACATTTAAGATGATCCCCAATTTAATCACCCCAAGGTCAGACTATGCAGTGCTCAGAGGAACCTCAGAGCTCCATAGACTCAGTTAACAGGTTAAAGTTCACGAAAGCAGAATTAGAAACAGACTAAACAAGTATGGCTTGTTTGGAAGGGTTGTCAGGAGGAACAACCTTCTCCTAAAAAAAAAGAAAAAAATAAAAGCAGCCAGGGCAGCATGACTTCAGTTTGTAATGTTGCTGCTGAATGAACCAGAAGGACTTCAGGAGTTTCAAATAAATCCTAACATCACGAAGAAGTTTGATCATAATTTACAGCAACATGTTTGGAAAGCAAACAGCTCATTGGCACAAACAGCTCTGATCAACTGTTGAGCACAAAGAACAGCAGCAGTTCAGACCTGTGGTGGAACCTTAACAGAGCTGTACAGAGAGGAATGTCTGGAAACCACAATGAACTGTAGCAATGTTGCAAACAAGAGTGGGCCAAAATTCCTCCACATCCATGTTCCTGCTAAAAATGGTTTTACACCTATGAACTTGGTGATTTACTCAGTTTTTAATGTTTTTGTACATTTGAGGTTAGATTTGAGCCTATTAAAGATCAGACCATGGCTCAGAGGGTGTTTTTGTCTTCTCATGTGACAGTTCAGCATGTGTTCATTTAACCTTTAGTGCTTCTGCGACGAAGCGTTCTGCTAACCCCTCTGGGCCTGAACCGCAGCAGCTGGAGCAAAGCCGAGAAACACGGTCGATCCAAAGGGAGATTATGTTTGCTAACAGTGTCAATGATGGCTTAACGTGCAGCCCCAACAATGCTGAGAGGTTTTAAATAGAGCATTGTTCAGTCCTTTTTACCGCTGCTCCATTCCCATCAGGAACTCCCATGGCTCTGAAGTTCTTCCCGCGCCAGTCCACCTCCCTCACCTCCTTCCTGCGGGAATACAACCTCTCTCTCTCTTACTGCACCCATCCTTCTCTGACGCGGGCCGTGGGCATCTTCTTCTCCACGCCGTCCTACTATGTTTTTGCCCAACAGGCGTGTCTCTACGGCGACCTCTACAGTGTCATTGTGTCAGAGGTCAGTTAGTCTGGTGTGTGGCATGGCTTACTGTACATTTAAATATTCCACTAATTTCCTGCAAAAAAACAGGAGTATTTTCTTTTGCACAAACATATAACATCCCTCTGGATTACATAATGCATGTGAAAAATATTCAAAGTGATAAAACTGGATATTTTTTGATAAATGCATGACAACTTTTCTGCTCGTCTTTCTTTGCACAGCTGATCCAGATACACTGAGTTTTTATTCCTGCCAGTAAAAAAAACTTGAGACGTGTTTGATAACAGCCTCCAGCAGACCTATTTCTGCGTTTATGCCACTGCCAGGAACACAACAGAGCGATGATAAGAATAAAGAAGTGAAGGGAGACACGTTAGATGAAGCAAAGCAGGGATTTCCAGGAGCGTCAGTGAATGTTCTGGTGACGCAGATATTATTGTCTCAGTGCCAAAGTGCTTCAACCACGTTTCTGACCTAAAATGCTGACGTGTCTCCACTTGAACTTATTATTTTGCTTGTTTTCTATATAACATGGTAAAGGAATAAACTAAATAGGACCCAGTTATATTAAATTATTAGCACTTTACAGAAAATAGGTAAGATTGAATATTTTTGGCCTAAATTAAAGGAATGCATTGGTTTAATAATAATAATAATAATAATAATAATAATAATAATAATAATAATAATAATAAAAATAATTTTAATAATACCTTTCAGGACACCCAAGGACACTGTACAACAGAAAAGAAACAACTCTAGATACATAGAATGATGGGTAGTGCAGGAGAAACATCAATAAAGAACAGTCACATAATAATAATACAATGAATTAGACAAATTGAACAATAGGGTTGTGGGGGAGAAACATAGAAATGAGGACTACAAAACCATCATATCTTGAGGTACAATGACCAGTCAATCAGAGTTAACAGTGGTAGGCTAATCTGAAAAGATGTGTCTTCAGGCCAGTCTTAAACGGGGGGAGAGAGGTGTAATTGTGTAATCCATGGGGTAGTGGGTTCCAGAGTTTAGCATCTGAAAGCTCTGCTCCCCATGGTGCTGAGGCAGGCAGAGGGTATAAAGAGTTGGAGGGAGGAGGCAGATCTTAGAGAGTGGGAGGGTGTGGAGATGTTTAGGAGGTCTAGGAGGTCGGACAGGTAAGGAGGGGAAAGATTGTGGATAGCTTTGAAGGTGTGTAGGAGAATTTTAAAGATGATGCAGGATTTAACTGGGAGCCAATGGAGCTGTTGTAGGACTGGAGTGATGTGGGCAGAGGATGAGGTTTGAGTGATTACACGGGCAGCTGAGTTCTGAAATTGGGGAGGCCAAACAGTAGGGAGCTGCAGTAGTCAATCCGACAACTGCAACTCTAAGAATTTAAGACTAACTTTATTGGGAATTTTAGCGGAAATGGGACCCAAAATACAGTATAACTAAAAAAAACACTCAAATTTATTTTTAGTAAAATAAAAAACTAAACAAACTGCATCAAAAGTTTTGGATATTTACAATTTATTATTGTTCTGCTATTTTTCAAATATTGGAGTAAATTCACTTGTGGTGCACTTTAGAAATGCCATCCATCCATCCATCCATCCATCCATCCATCCATCCATCCATCCATCCATCCATCCATCCATCCTCATACCCATCCTTCCATCCATCCACCCTCATACCCATCCATCCATCCATCCTTCCATCCATCCATCCATCCATCCATCCATCCATCCATCCATCCATCCTTCCATCCATCCATCCATCCATCTTCTGTACACGCTTCTTCCTTTCATGGTCACTGGTGCCCATATCCAGCAGTCACAGTGCGAGGGGTGGGGTACACCCTGGACAGGTCGCAAGTCTATCAAAGGGCACTTTAGAAATGAACAACAACAACAACAACAACAACAACAACAACAACAACAACAACAAGGACATTATAAAATTGATCCGGTTTGACTTTTTTTTTACTTTAGAAATGAAAAATATAAATTAGGAAAAACAAATCCAGGGTTTGAGCTGAAAAGTTTTTTTGTTGTTGTTTTCTGCACCACCCTGGGGTGACTTTTGCTGTAACTTGATGTGATATAAATAAACCAAACTGTTCTGAAAATTTTTCCATGAATTAGTTAACACTTTACGCTTTGAGGCAAAAACGTTTTTGGGTTAATGGGGTTATTATTGTATGACAAATTATTCAACCTCATCATTTTCAAGGAACTCTTCATTGAATAGTTTTATTTATTTAAATGACAGACATCAAATAACTTTTGATACTTAAGTAATCGACTTACTTTAATAACTAACTCTTCACTAGAGCTGAAAACATCTGGGCCAAGTTTATATTTGTCTCTGTGAGTAAAATAATTTAGAGACGGACCCTCACTTGGATTTGAAGAGACAGCTTTAAAATGAGTTAATCTGAGACACACCTCAGAAAAGGGGTGAAAGAGGGGCTTGTGGAGTTACAATAAGGAGGAATTCAGACTAAAGCATGGCGGTTTTACTTTATATAGACCCCAACTGAATGATTTAAATGTGACAAAAAAGGATTTAACAAATAATATTTTTTACTTTTAATTTGTCTGGCCCAGTTCTGGCCCACACAAGGCATTAATGCTCAGCCAATAAAGAGTGACAGCCCTTTGATGGCCCGGATGTGGTTTTCTGGAAGTGGTCCATGCATGGGTCAAGACCACACAAACTTAACCACAATCGGGCCAGTGGTGGCATTGACAGATTTGGGCTGCCTACTCCAGGGTTCCTACAGCTTAGAGCAAGTTAAATTTAAGACTTTTTAAATATTTATTTTATGCCACGTGAAATGAAGATTAAAACCGACTTCACAATGAACACAAATGCAAAAAAAAGTTATTCAGTAAATTTAAAACATAAATGAATAAATCTTACTAATTGTTATAATATTTGAGATTACAATAATCCTGCTTACAATGTGTGAACATTTTTAGGACCTCTGAAAGGTTGATTTAAGACATTTTAAGGCTAATTGGATTGATGAATTCAATGCCTTTTAAGACTTTTTAAGGATGGGCAGCATGATGGCTCAGTGGTTAGCACTGACGCCTCACAGCAAGAAGGTCCTGGGTTCGGACCTGGGGTCTTTCTGTGCGGTGTTTGCATGTCCTTCTTGTGCTTGCGTGGGTTTTCTCCAGGTGCTCCAATTTCCCCCACAACACACAAATATGTAGGATAGGTTGCCTTCAGGCCCAGGCTGCCCTTGAAAAAGAAATTTGTGATCTCAATAGAATTTGCCCCGTTAAACAATGGTAAATAAATAAAGAATCTGCAGGAATTCTGTAAACCAAATCATAACTGGGCCAGTTGTGGCATACCATTTTAAAAACAGTGCCATCACAACCAGACCTGGCCCACGTCTGGTTGGCCATGCCAGCAGTCAGCCAGCAGGGCCAGTTTGACACCACATCTGGCCCACACCTGTCTGCCATGTGGGAGTCTGATGTGATGAAGCCTCTGAGTCTGACCCTTCTTGACCCTTTGTTCTTATCGCTCCGTCTGTCTCAGGTTGGGGTGAATGAAGACTGCGTCCAGAGGGTGATGTCCCAGCTGAGCGGCGCCGTCACGCACCTCCACTCCCTGGGCTTCGTCCACCGGGACATCAAACCCGAGAACGTCTTCCTGTGCGACAGCTCCTGCCGCTGGGTGAAGCTGGGGGACTTCGGCCTCACCCGGGCCACCGGCACCACTGTCCGAGCCGTGTGGTACGAGTCGCCCTTCTGCACGCCGGAGGTGGAAGCGGTCAAGACGGCCGAGAAAGAGATGGAGAGGAGGCTGAGCGAGGGGATCGAGGAGGAGGTGGAGGACATCTGGATCACGGTGCAGCCCTGCATCGACAGCTGGGCCCTCGGGGTCCTCGTCTACTGCCTCCTGACGGGCTGCTTCCCCTGGGAGGAGAGCACCCGCGATGACCCCGGCTTCTGCAGATACATAAAGTGGTTTGACCGCGAGGCAGAGATGGACAAAACCAAGTGGAGGGATGAGGAGGACACTGACAGTTACACAATCATGGAGCAGAGGCAGAAAGAAAACCCTCCTCCCTCGCAGTTCGAGGGTCTCAGCCCGTTAGTGATGACTCTTCTGAAGGAGCTGCTGCACCCCGAGCCCCAACGCAGAGGAAACCCGGAGGAGATCCTGAGCTACCTGGGGGGGCCGTGGCTCATGGAGACCGCCAAGGAGGAGAGGAGGAGGGCAGAGGAGGCTGAGAAGGAGGCCAGGAAGATCCGGGAAACAGGAGGAGTAGAAGAGGAACTGCTCAGGGAGGGAAGAGGAGAAAGATGAGCTTTGTCTCAGGACTTTATTTAAATCAGATTATTTTTGTAGAAACGACTCATATAAAGGTGCTACTCTTTACATATCATTTGTAAATATCTCTGATCAGGTGTTTTATATATTTCTGCGTGTGCTCAGATCATTTAGTTAAAAAGTGAACTGAACTGCTTTATATCAACTCTGTAATTAATCTGTTTGAATAAAAATATAATCTTATCAGACCCATTATTTCAAGCCTTAAACATCAACTCATAACTCGACTTTGTTAGGCTGCTTTTTAAAAAGTTTTTCAATCAAATAAAACATTTTAAATGGTTACCTTTTTAATATACAAGACTGATTTGTGTATTTATTCACAGCAGTATCATCTAGTGAAGCAACAGGTGCAGCAGAATAGATCTAAAATTAGAACAATGCAGTTTATTACCAGAGAACTCTTCTTAGCCTGTCTGCTGTAAAAATAAACGTGTAAGGGTAAAAAAAAAAGTCACTTTTCTGAATAAAGCACATTTAAAGGAAGTTTCAGGAAGTCAGACAAGTACAAGTGAACTTAAGTGCTTATGGTAAAACAAAAAAAAAGGTTTGAAATCAGCTCAAAATGAAAAAAAAGTCTGGAGCTGTTATAATCTTGTTATGAAGTTCTTAATGTTCTCTGTGTAAGATTTTCACACTAAAACAAACATTAGTAAGTGACATCTGTTTGTCCTCACTACTACATAAAAGCAGTGAAATAAAACTCTGCCCTACATTCGATGGAGCTAAATTAAAGTTAGGTTTAACTTCCCCTTTTGCAACATGCATAATATCACAGTTTCAGTTTGGCCTGAGTCCCCGCTAGTAGCAACTGCTGGAGTGCAGTGTGAAGGTGCCAGCAGTGTCTCTGCTAACCCTCGCTAAGAGTCCCTCCAGATGGATTTAAAAATAGATCCCAGGACCCATCTATTCACACAGCCAAGCGTATCATCACCTCGCTGCGACCAGCCGCACTCTGCAGGCCTCCAAATGCAGAAGTCAGGTCGTGTTGGCGCCCAGAGGCCTGGACCAGCACAATCTGGTGGGACGCTCTTATCCATTTTGTCCTGTTTAAGCTCCCAGATCACTTTTCTTTTCATCTCACCACTTGTAGATTACTTTACGCATATCTGCTTGTTAACTTTTCCACTTTCACATTTGTTTCAGATCTATTTCTTTCCATAAAATATCAAATTCTGGATTTTATTTTATTTTTTTTCAGTAGCTGCCCTCTTAGACAGTCTTGTATGAAGCATCTCAAAGTGATACTTGAGTCAAAGTAAGACTATCTTATAAAATTACTTTAGCAAAAGTAAAAGTCTCCTCTAAAAATATTACTTGAGTAAAATTCTTCAAGTATCTGACATTTATTGTACTTAAGTATCAAGGGTAAATTTCTGATTTTAAATGTACTCAAGTATTAAAAGTAAAAGTACTGATGGGAGTGGGTGCTGCCTATAGGTTAAACACTATTTTATGTAAAAGAACAAGTTTTGTCTTTTACCTTTTAACCCACCTGTTATGTTCGTTTCTGAGGAACAGCAAAAATGTTTCTGGGTCAGTTTGACCTGGGGCATGTTTAGTCATGCCATAGTGTCAGAAACCAAAAAAAAATCCCCCGAAATTTTTTTATATCTGATTATTAACTTCATTACTTACAATTTCAATCAATATTTGTGAATTGATGTTTTTTTAATTTCAGATAAAGGATGAATGAGGACAATTTACTCAATTTCCTAAAAAAAAGTGTTACATTTTTTATGTCCAATACACACACACACACACACACACACACACACACAC